CACTATGTCCTGTCTGTCTTGGGTGTCCCTGCACGGCATAGCCCATAGCTTCTCTGGGATACTCAAGCCCCTTCGCCATGACAAGGCAGCAATCCATGAAGGGAAATATCGGCATACTAAACCATTAATGGCTTCATATGTCATCATAACTAGCACCTTGAACTGAACACAGAAACTGACAAGGAGCCAATGTAATCCGGCCAAGACAAGCAATATATGATCAAATTTACTGGACACAGAAATCAGTCTAGCCACTTCATTTTGGGCTTGCTGAAGTTTCCATACTGTTTTCAAGGGCAGCCCTACATACAGAGCATTACAGTAGTCTGTTTTTGAGATTAGCAATGTGTTGTTTGCGGATTTCAATGGCTTCCCTGTGAAGTCTAACATAATATTTGCTAGTATTGTCCAGTACTTCATTATTTTGAAATAGAATTTCATGTCCAGCTTGTTTTAGGGCATGTTCAGTTACTACTGATTTTTCCGGTTGTTGCCGGTAGTCTGCAGAGAGACTACCGGTTGTTTCTGATATTCTGCAGAGAGACACTGCAGACTAAAACAACCGGAAAAATCAGCAGTAGCTGAACATGCCCTAAAAGAAGCTGGACATGAAATTCTATTTCAAAATACTGAAGTAGTGGACAACACCAGCAATCGTTATGTTAGACTGCACAGGGAAGCCACTGAAATCCATAAACATCAACAGAACTTTAACAAAAGGGAACAAGGCCTAAAACTAAACATGGCCTGGCTCCCAATACTGAAAAATACAGCCTGTAAAAGGTCAGCAAACTCTACCCAGCCACAAGGACTAGGGATCATTGCACAAAAAAGACCAGCTAACGATACCCATCAATCGCAGTACAGTGGCGCCTCACTTAATGATGTTAATTGGTTCAAGAAACCACTATGGGAAAACATTGCTAAGCAAAACACCATTTCCCATAGGAATGCATTGAAAACTGGTTAATCCGTTCCAATGGGAACGGATTGGCGTCCTTAAGCGAAAATCCCCATAGGAAACATCGCTAAGCGATACAATGTTTCCCCCGTTGGAATGCATTGAAGCCTATTCAATGCATTCCAATGGTTTTGCGATGTCCATTTTTGCAATTTTAAGTGTGTCTTAAAAGGTTCAAAAACGGTTTTAAATGCTTGGGATCGTTAGTGCACCTCCTGAAACCTGTGCAAACTTAATTTGGCTTTGATCTGACTCTTCGTTAATTTTTGGTGATTTTTTTTCCTCCCCCATTGGAATGCTTTGAACTGCAGGTTTGACAGCTTCTGTGGTTTAACCCGCAGCGCCACCACGTCCTGAAGCCTCAATAGTCCGACATTTATACAGCAGTGGGAATGATATATAATAGATCATGGGCAGTCCTTGGAAATGGCAACTAGAGATTTAAATGGTGGCTCTTAGGAATCATTCATACATCTGTGATAGGTGATAACAAAGATAACAAAGTTTTTCTTTAGTTTAATTTCAATATAATGGAAGCCCGTGGCCCATTACAAACCCACAGTTCAGTGGGTTTATATACACATTAGTTCTGGTTATTAGGTGGGACAGAATAAGATAGATATTGAGTGGTACAATCAATTACCCCTGAATACAGTATGTTAAAGTAAATAGTTTTCCTTACTAGACAGTGACTGTTTCAGATGAAGCCAGAAGAAACCTGCTTCGTTTCATAGTCTGCTACGGAAACTGTTATGTTACACACAGTACAGCACTCATATATCTGCATGGGTGAGCTGGTTAATATTTACAATGAAGTAAGAAAGCCCTGACATATAGTGTGGTATAATAGATAGAGTGATGGTTTAGAACTCAGGAGACCTGGGTTCAAATCCCCAGTCAGTTATGACAAATCACTAGGGCGGGAGGAACTGGTAAAACTACTCCTGAAATATATCACATGCCTTGAAAACCCATTGTGGATTACCTTACTAATCCTTATTAGGTCGTTTAATGATTTTCCCAATGAAGAAAGGGGGACAAATTTGGCCTTTGACCCTGCATCCAAGGACAGTCCTTCCCACCCAGAGATGTAAGGGAAGTGTGACTGTCCAGAATGAGCTCTAGATTGCCAGTGATATACTGGAGTGGGTTTAGCTGCAAAAAGAGAGGCTATGACTGGTGGGACTCTGTTGTTCCCTGTCCTGACTGTATGGACAGTCTCCCCCTGCCACCCTTAAACTGAAAAGAATGCTCACCAGCAGCAATACACCTTGCAACAAAGATACAGACACAGGAATCAGACCATATTTGGAGAAGACATGCCCTGCTGCCTATGAAAGCTTATGCAAAAAAAAAAAACCCTGTTAGTCTTTAACGTGCCGCAGAACTCTGTGTTGCTTTTGCTGCAACAGACTAAGGTGGCTGCTCCTCAAGAAGCAAAAAAGGGAAGCACAGGAGAAGAAGAAAGAGTTAAGTGTTACTTGCCTTTTCCTGCTGTTTCTGGATCCAGGTCAACAACAGTCACAAGCTTCCTCTGCATTCCTTCAGGCTGGTAAAAAAGGAAATACGGGAATTATGAATGTCACTACAAAAACTTAGTTAAAGAGGAAGAAAAGAGCAACTCACAATGGCGTCAGTTCTACTTTCTGGCAAAAATACTCTGGTGTTCAGTAAAGTATCCAGGCCTGACTGTACCATTGAGGGTGGCTAAGTTTTAGAACAGACCCATAAATTTCAGTAGCTCAGTCATCTCACCTAAGAATCCCTCCATTTGCAGGTAAAACCCATCAACACGTAGGCCACCCTTCAAGGGCCTGAATCTCCCAAAGTCTCCATTCATACATCTCTACCGGTTTACCACCAATACCACTTAAAAAAGGAAGAGCTTTTTAAAATTCCCTCTAGTGTTTATGAAATAAGCCAGATGGATAGCTCAGTGATTGTTACCCGGCTGCGCAACCAGAGGTTGGGAGTCCCACTTTACAAGGATGATCTAAGACACTTTGGTATTGAAGGAAGATGATCCAAACAGTCCAGTTCACCAGGGGACACAATGGAGCAACATTTCCACAAGAAACACATCTCTTCTGTACACGTCTTCAGTATACTATTTCCACCTTCTCTTTATTTGATCTTGGTCAGATAATGTGCTTCCCTCTTGGTCCTTCAGTATTCCTAATCTATGTTTAAGTTTCCTTTGATCTCATGGATCTTCTAGAAGGGATCTCTTGGTCTTCCCCTTTCATTGTCCTTCTCTAATTCTTTACACTGGGTATTGTAATAGTTCTCTTTCTCTGTTGCTGAAAAATGGCATTCAAGTTTCTAACCCTGTTTCTGTCTCCTTTTATTTTTGCTTCTTGCCTGTCCTGTACAATTTTAAAGTGTTTCTTCTGTCATCCATCTAGGTTTCTCTTTTCTTTTCACCTCAGGATTTCTATTATTGTATTCTCCGTTAGTAATATCTCTGGTTTCAATCCACAAGTCTTCTGGGTCATGTTTATTTGAGTTTAGTAATGCAAATCTATTTATTCCTTATGTGGACTTCAAATTCATCAGGAATGTTAAATCATATTTTGGCGCAACAGTTCTTTTAGTGTTGTTCTTCTGCTTTAATGTTGGATATTAATAGTTCATGATCGGTACCACAATTCCCTCCTGGTCTTGTTCTGGCATCAACCTTCTGCATCTCCTGTTTCCAAGTACTCAGTCTATTTGATTTCTATATTGACCATCTGGTAATATCCGCGTGTACAGTTTTCTGTCTGCTTCCTTGAAGCATGTATTTGCGATAAACAGATTGTTGGCGTCACAGAACTCTATGACTCATTCTTCTGCTTCATTTCTGTCTCGTAGGTCAAATATCTGAATGACAGTTGGTTCTGCCTTGTTTCCTACTTTTGTGTTCCAGTTACCTATTATTATAAGCATGTCTTGTCTTAGTGTTTGATAAATTTCCTCCTGAATGCTTGCATAAAAGCTTTCTATTTCATCTTCAACATTTGTTGGAGCATAGATTCGAATTATGGTTCTGTTGACAGGTTTCCCATGGAGTCTGATCAATGTTATTCAGTAAGACCTTACATTATAACCCCTAACTGTCTGTGTTACATCTTGCCTCATTAGAGCCACTCCATTTCCCATGAATTTGTCATTTCCAGAGTAGAACATTCTAACTATAAATATCCTGTTCCAGTCCCCTTTAGTTCACTGATACCAAGCATGGCAATATTTATGTCTTCCGTTTCATTTCTCTCTGTGTGTCAGCCATTATTTGTGTAATTAGCAGCAAGGATGACCTAAAACACTTTCGGATTGAAGGAAGATGATCCAAACAGTGCATCTCACCCCACCATCCCACATCCAGTTCACCAGGGAACAAAATTCAGCAGCATTTTCTCCTGAGGAAGTATTAATTGGGAATTGTACTAGAGTACTGTCAAGATTTCTTTTTCATTTTCTTAATTATTAATATTTGATTACACACAGCACAACCTTTTTCCAGATTTTATACTAATTTCCAGTGTACAACCATTCATATGATTGTTTCAGCTAATAATAATTACACAGCATTTAAAAACATTAGGTTACACTCCTGTAATCCAGGCATAGGAGACTACATCCACCATTCAGTAACTGGAATGTCCAAAGTGAAGTGACTGCCATCAGCTCCTATTTGTTTAGTTCTGTATTCCCACCTTCCGGATGCATTGAGCCTAATTCCAAATGCTAGTCCCAGCTAAAGTATAGCGGCTGCATCAATTCCAGATGTGTGTGTCAACAGGTATGCATATATCAGAGGCATTTGATAGGTCTGGTCTAGTTGGAAGTAGCAATTTGTTTTGGGTTATGAATCACAGCTCCCATCAACCATGGTTATCAGAGGTGCCAAACCTGAAGCCATGGAAGATTGATTTGGACACTGGAAATGGGTATAAAGTTCATTTTAAAAGACCCATTTCATGAAAGTTCAATTCCAGCAACCAAAGCTGAATGTACACTACGAGTACAGAAAGTATGAGGGAGAAGTAAACACCCCTCCCATTATTCTGACAAAAGGCACAACACAACTGGAGAGGTTAATGGCATCCATCCCTTGAGTTCTTTTTTCTAATCATTCTCAATTACCATTCTTCCTCAGAAGAAAAACTGAGGCTACTGCACCCTCATGTGGTCAAATGATGGAGTAGAGATTTAAAAAAACAAGCCTAAGAGTTGGTTGTTGTGGGTTTTTCGGGTTCTTTGGCTGTGTTCTGACGGTGGTTCTTCCTGATGTTTGAACACGGCCAAAGAGCCCGAAAAACCCACAACAACCATCAGATCCCGGCCGTGAAAGCCTTCGAGAATACAAGCCTAAGAGTGTTGCAACGTCTAGATTCAATTGCTCATAGAACCAGCTTACAGGCAATGGATATTCTTGAACCTGTTGTTAAGTGTGTGTCTTTACACTCCTCCCTTATGCTGTTTAAATTCATCTTCTGATGAGTGGGAGGAGACACCTTTAATATTGGAAAATCATCACTGAGTCACTATCGGTGATGCAAATCGAGTCATACAATTGCCGCCAGTGGCTTTCCAATATTAAAGGCTCCCCCTCTCATCTTTAGACTCCCAAAGGCTTTCCAAGGGCAGAAGGGACCCCCAGGGAGCCTCAGAACCTGAACAGAAATCTTTGGAAGAGTGGTCTTTTAGACCAGATTGGCGGGGTATAAATCAAATCAATCAATCAAGCAATCAATCAATCAATAAATCAATCAATCAATCAATAAATTTAAGACACTGTTTGCTATATGACAAGACCATTCAGGCTGCTTATACATTAAAATAATAAATTGTTGTTGTTTAGTTGTGACCCCATGGACCAGAGCACGCCAGACCCTCCTGTCTTCCACTGCCTCCCGGAGTTGGGTCAAATTCATGTTGGTTGCTTCAATGACACTGTCCAACGATCACGTCCTCTGTCGTCCCCTTCTCCTCTTGCCTTCACAGTTTCCCAACATCAGGGTCTTTTCTAGGGAGTCTTCTGTTCTCATCAGATGAGTCTGTGAGCCTGTGAGCCAGAAAGTCAGTGAGAGTAGGGTTCTGTGTGTTAGTGAGTTCAGTGAGTGAGAGAAATTGATTAGCAACTTGTGATTTACCTATTATTTATTATTGATCAAATAAACAAGTTTAAGTTTTAAAGCAACACATGTCTCACTGAATAATTAGTATTGTAAATGAAATATTGGTGGCAGCAACTGAGTGAAAGAGTGAGCACCTCCTGGAGGCCTGAGATAATAGAGGCTTCAGTGCGCTCACAACATAAACTGGTGTCCAGCGTGTGGGATACGTACTTGACCCAGTAACACCTTCTGCAGTGATCATGGAGCCCAAGAAGGCAAAATCTGTCACTGCCTCCATATCTTCCCCTTCTATTTGCCAGGAGGTGATGTGACCAGTGGCCGTGATCTTAGTTTTTTTTATGCTGAGCTTCAGACCCTTTTTTTTGTCCTCTCCTCTTTCACCCTCATTAAGAGGGTGAAAATAATAAATACATTATTTTAATGTGTGCAGACAAATTCCTTTTTCTTCAGGCAAGCTTTCCCAGAGTGATTGGCTACATGAGGGCAGCTTTCAGATGGATTACTACTGCCTTACTGCTGTGAGTAGCTCCTTAGTACTACTTGTATCTGCCATCTCTCAAACTGGTATTTTGTTTGTTCCTTTTTAATATTTGTATACTTACTGTTTCAGCTTTAATATTGTCTTTTAATGATGTAAACCACCATTGTACACTCATTGTTTTCAGCTTTGAATATTGCCTTTCAATGATATAAGCCACCTTGGGTCTTTCTTAAGTAGAAAGGTGGAGTAAAAATATTTGAAATGAATGAATAAATACATTTAGAATGTGGTGGGAAACCAACCCCTTTGCCCCCTTCACAAGCATCTATTGATTTTAGTCACCATGAGTCTTGCTATGGTTAGACTTCAAAATTAGACCCCCTTTCTATCCTGCTCCTATCATAAAGGTGCATGCACTCATTAACGGGATTGGCGTATGGAGCCTCTGTTGCTCCAGGTTTCCTCTGAGGGCCTGGCTGGTTACGTACCACGACCTTCAGCTTCTTCTTCACACCGTCAGACACCATCATACCCCAGACAGCTGCTTTGACCTCAATGTCATGGATCCCCAATTCCAGTGGGACAATCACTAATGGCATGACCCGGGATGACTGCTTTGTCATTCGAATCTCCTGTCGGTAGCGTTGCTTGGCAGTGGAAGAGCTGCAGAATGCGGGATTGTGCATCAGCTCCACCCGCACCTGAGGAGCAAACAGAAAGGGGGGATTAGGAACATTGCCTTGCCAATGTGAAAAATTGTGAACAAGGAAGCATAGAGCTCCTTTTTGGGGTCAAGAAAAAGGTGGGGACAGGCTCATTTTTATGACCAAAGAGAAGAACTAAGACACTCAGTGAACTGAACGGTTTGTAAGAGTTCAGAAGAAAGTTGTGTGTCAATAGTTGAATATACCTATGTAGACTTGAAGACATTTCTTTTATGAAAAAAAATTACCTAGTGCTACTTAGTATTTTGGATTCCCACTGTGATGTGGTAGACAGAGTGCCAGATTAGGACTTCTGAGAACAGGGTTCAAATCCCACTTGGCTATGGAGACTCACTGAGGGAGTAGAACCCGTAAAAACATTCCTTAAATATCTCACCATGAAAGCTCTATGGAGGTTGTATAAGTCAGTTGTGACTTAACAGCACAGAACACACAGAAACACTTAGTATTTGATTGTATTATGAATTATTTACTTACAACATACCCAAGTATGCTAGAAAAATAAAGGAAAATACTCTCTAGTTTCCTCTAGCAATCAGTTCACACATCACCCATTGAAAATATCTTTCAAAAGACAAACAAAACAACAGGCCCCTTGCTGCAAATTAGTGACATGAGGATATCACAACATCTGGAAAAGTCCTGTCAAAATGCTCCTAAAATGCCTTAAAGATTGCCTCTCACAGTAGTTAAAAAATGTTACTCATTGCATCAAAAGTATATGACCACTTGCTATGTTACTTATGAAATGAAATTTAATTACATCTTCCTTGCCCAAAGGAAGGGACGTGGTGGGACTGTGGGTTAAATTGCAGAAGCCTCTGTGCTGTAAGGTCTATAGATCTGCAGCTGTAAGATCGAATCCACGTGACGGAGTGAGTGCCCGTTGCTTGTCCCAGCTCCCGCCAACCTAGCAGTTCGAAAGCATGCAAATGCGAGTAGATAAATAGGGACCATCTCGGTGGGAAGGTAGCAGCATTCCGTGTCTAAGTCGCACTGGCCATGTGACCACGGAAGATTGTCTTCAGACAAATGCTGGCTCTATGGCTTGGAAATGGGGATGAGCACCGCCCCCTAGAGTTGAACACAACTGGACAAATTGTCAAGCAGAACTTTACCTTTACCTTTACCTTTGCCCAAAAGAATAATTACTCACACATAACTACATTATATATAACTGTCTCCTTCCAAGATCTGTCCCCATGACCTCTCAGATTATTGTTTCCCAGAATCCAGGGGAATCCCCAGTGTTATGACTTTTCCTCAATTCCAGGTATGGACCCCGATCAGAATCTCAAGGCTTACCCTGATATCCTGATTCCCATAGTTGTAGAGAACAGCCCGAATCTCCACCTGCTCATTCCTCACCACCGAGTAAGGCACCCGCAGATCAATAAAGAATTTCTTCATTACCTTTATTTCATAAGGCTCAGCCACACAGATACCTGTCCAGGAGATCAACAGGGAAAGAAGCAGGATCAGAAGAATCCATGGCACCTGCACGTCAGACTTTCTTGCTTAGAAATTCTCTTCAGTGTGAAAATATCTTCAAGGAGGCAGACTGCAGTCCAGCATTACTTCCCCAGTCCGGTCTCTCTCTCTCTCTCCCTCCCTCCCTCCCTCACACACGCTGAACATT